GCGGCTGCAGGCTGTTGCAAACTCAATCGCATGGATGGCACGAAACCTGTCCTTTGACGGCTGTTACATGTCGCCCTTCGCTAAAAGCGCGCGACAAAACGGAATAGACGCAATAGGTAAGTCTTATTTCCACTAGTACATTGTTTCGAGTTTGATCCTAGTCGCTAAGTGGAAATAACTAAGTACTATCACTTTGTCATCTTTTTTACGATAACAAGATTGTTTTTATTAGTACAAGTTAAGACTGCGTTTATATATAGAAATGTCGAGAGGAGAGGAAACTTCCGTTATTTTTGCCAATTATACGCGTCTTCGATGCGCCTCTTAAAGTATTTTTATGAGCCTATTACCCTGAAAACTGCATAAATAGCCTTGTGCTATGTATCTGTGCCAATTTTTGTCAAAAGCTAGTAATTTAAGATCTTTCGTTTAAATTTAATGGTCACGGTATTGACAAATTATTACGCTTTTATTTCTTGTTCTAATTGCGTAGTTTGCAATACATTTTTTGTTACTTTGTTACTTACTTTTTAATACACCATGCGGTTCTTAAGTCAATGATATCTTAACCGTGTGTTACCATAGATAATATAAAGTAGATATAATTAGTTATTTGAATGTGTCTCGTGTGCCGACATGTGCTGATAACATCTATAAAGGTTATGGAATGCAATCTCAAACTACTTCTGCGTTGTATAAGCAGATAACTGCCCGACGTAAATGTATATGCAAAAATATATAATACAATTTTAGTATGTATCGTACCTTAAACAGACCGTAGCGACAAATTCACATTTCGTGATATAAGATATTTATTCTCTCTTAAGAATTTACAATTCACTTGATGAGAAAACAAGTTTTTTTGTTTTGTTTTACACCAGTTGTCTAATTTATTGTCATATACATTAAGATTTTATTTTCTTAACAATTTTTTTTTTTTACTTTAATTTTGAATAACGACATTTTCTTTTCATCTCTGATATGTTTAGGTAAAGTATTATATAACTGTACTCCCGCAAATGTTATAGTTTTTTGACCATAATTTGTTCTATGTTTTGATATTTTTAATTTAATTTGATCAGGTTTTTCTTCATTTTAAACATGTTACAAGTAGTTTTATTCAAATGACTGGCAAGGCCATGAATGATGATGGGACCTCAATTTAAATTAATAAAGCACAGTGTCAAAATAACACGTCACTTTGCGAATAAATGAGTTGTCAAGGCAAATTGAAAACTGTAATTACGATTGGTCAGAGTCTAATACTATGCAACAGGAATATTCTTAGTATAATAGTAGTAATTTACTTGTTAACAGGTGGAAAACCCGACGACATAACGGTGCTACTCGCAATCGTAGCGCTATGAGATTGTCCCGACGCTGCGATATCGGCCGGACATCGCTTACGAGGAATTAGTAAAATTATAAACGACACCAAAAAATTGCATATTTGGTTATTCAACGATAAAATAGTTGTAATTTTTAGGATGTTATACAATTACGACATTGATTTCGTCATCGAGATGTGACAACCCTAGTCGCTTGTGAACACGGAATTGTCTATGAATCATATGTCATGTGAATTTACTTTTTTAGGTTATCTTAAAACAAATTAGATTAATTACCAACGCCTTGTTAAACACACATGTTTGTCCTAAAAAATGAAAGGTATAACAACGGAAGTCTCATTTAGTATGATTTTTTTACTAAAGCCAATGTTTTTTTGCAATAAATTATCTGTAATTGTCGAATGCCATGCATGTTCTGATAAACAAGAAAGTTGTCTGTATAACAATGAATGTTTCGAAGTTAAAATAATGTATAATAAAATAGATTATAGGCGCTTATTTGAACACTACAATGTCAGCAATTTATTGCGATCTTTGAGACTTGTATCTATAGACAATCGATACATATTTTTGTGAATAATTTGATGCTTGTAATACAAAAATTGACAAATATCCGATTAATTTATCCAGTTGATTATTTAGGGCATTCTATAAAAAAAAAACTTAAAAATCGGTTATAAAATATCTGTGAATTTTAGCTGATGTGGTGTAAAAGGTATTAGTGTTAATATTTGATTTACTTATGTGATAGTATGGTGTAGTTAATTATCAGTTTTCACTTTATGGCTGTAACTAACCAGTATGGGTGATATTTGAGATCTTATTGTGTGAATAGAGATATTTGCGACTTGAATGTATTGGTGAAAGACTGAATTAATTTTATTGGTATGATTTAAAAAAAACTGAACATTTTTAATGTTATTTTTCGAATCAATTTCATGTAACTTGAATGTTTCGACGCGAATTCATCTGTTTAATTGTAATTCATATTCTTTTACTTAATTCTAACAAATATCAACTTCGTGACTTCTCATTTAATTATTAAATCATGATTCCCCATCATTTTAATGCTAACAAATTAAATTGTTAACTCAAGATTTTATTTGTAATTTTAAATGTTGATCATGTGACAGTAATGTCTACAACAGTGGGTATATTTAATTTTTCATCTTGTTCATTGTCATTTTAAAACTACCCTCACATAAAATATAGGAATCTGTTAAATAATATAAGTCGCATTTAGTGACTGTTTAAGAAATCTGTTTTAATAGAATTTAATAGAATGTTCTAGTTACAGCATTTACGAAGCCCTTTTCGACCATTTTTTTAAGGCTTCAAAGTTTGTTAAATGGCTCATTTGTAATTATATTTATTGCAACTCATTCATATTAATTTATTTTTTTATGGGACTGTGTGGGACTTTCCGTTTGTGTGGTTATGATTGACATTACGAAGTGATATTCAAATGTGAGGCTACTTACTGTGGTTGCTTCAAGCTTACGTCTTGAGTGGGTGACAAAAAATTCTTGTAGATTGTGTAAAAAGTTGCAAATAAAAATTATGAATGAAATTTGACTTTTATTTATGAACACAAAGTTATATCTTGACAAGGAATGTAATAAATACTCGCCATATAGCGGAAAAAAATAAAGAACTAATTTTTATGTACATTACATTATGTGTTGTTAGAAAATATGTAATAAAACTGATTGAAGGTCGTTTTTATACTCTTGTTTAGATCATAGGTTTACTTTTTGTTTGGGGATGTAAAGAATAACAGGTTAATACGTGAATTAGAATTTTAGTGAAAGTAAAAACATTTTTTTAATCTTAATTTTATTCACGAGCAAGTTCCACAATCTATAAATAAATTACATGAACCATATTTTCCATTCTTACAACTTAAAAGGGCCGCTGCCTGTATTCAAGATTGTAATATTTTAACCCCTTATATAAAAATATTATATTTAAATGTTATTTGGCTTGGTGCTGCAAACAAAGATATTTAAAAAACATACAGACTAGACATAGTGAATAAATTTTTTTCAATTTTACTTTAAAAGGTACTATGTTACCACATTTAGTATGCCGCCTTGTGTCCTTGAATGTTATAATAAGCTCCATATATTGTAATAAAATAAACTAAAGCGTCACACCGTGAAATATGAACATTTTTCATATTATTTAATGACACCTATTGGCAATTAATTTTAACATTGACATGTGCTTTTGAGAATCTATCATAGATAGCGTTAGTGTTGATGATGGCTATGCCTACTCTATATGTCTTTTGAATCTCTTTGGCTTGCAAAGCATTGATTATTCAGGCACCGCTGATTTTAATAAAAATTCTGGCAGCTTTGGTATGTAAAATACTTTGAAATTGCCTTATTTTAATTCTTGTTGGTTAAAAAATATTATTCGATATAACAAACATTATTGTTTGTGATGGTACAGGAATTTATAAATTTATTTTTATCATAATAGTTGGCAAAAGTTATACAAAGTGTGCTTTTTTTACATATTTATGCAGCTGTAATATAAATCCTGATCATAATTGATCTAATTTCTGTACCTTCAAATGAGACAATAATGTCTTAAGGGAAATTAATTGAAATACTTAAAAATTCTTCTTATAATAAAATTAAAAACCTAAATAGTAATTAAAATAACATACATGTTAATAAATTGTACATTTATGCAGATTCCTTACGCCCAGTGATATTATTCCTTAACTGTCATTAATTTGCACTAAATGGATCGCAAACTGTATTTGAGCAGCATCACTGGGATAGTCCTGTCTTTTTTATAGTCCAGGCTGATCATTAGCCATGTCTGGAAGATGTTCATATTCCGGTGCATCAGGTGCTGGGTCCAGAAGTTTTTTCCTAAAGAAAATAATATAATATTTATTGTAAGGGTTGAGTAATATCAATTTTATTTAAGACTAGCTTTCGCCAGCGACTCCGCCCGCGTGGAATTAAAAAAAAAATTGAGTAGCCTATGTGTTCTACCAGACTATCCTCTACATCTATGCCAAATTTCATTGAGATGCGTTTAGTAGTTTGTGCTATAAACTCTAACAAACATCCATGTAAACTTTCGCATTTATAATATTAGTAAGATGTATCAAATAGTGACTTAAGTAGAAGAAAATGATAAACAGTGCTAGAGAGTGAATGAAATTGCAGTGCCTTTTTATGGATACTTACAGAAATTCAGGTGTTTTCAAAAACTTTTGACCTCCTCTTTGTCTTGGCAAAACATCCTCTAAGAAGAAATATATATGTCCAATGGCCATGCCTACTAAATCTACAGATATTGCATTACCAAGTAAAACAGAGAAACCTAGTAATACCCATGGAAGATATGGTGCCTGAAAAACAAAATACCATAAATAACACATTAAAAGATAAAATGTATTGAAACAAATGTTATGTAATTACCTGGAAATTCATGAGACCAAAAAAGTTCATACGAACAAATATATTCCGACGAGACCATACATACACAATCATAATAGTGAATGCTTGACCTAAGAATAATAAATTAACAAAAAATGCTGATAACTGTGATATATTAAGGAAACAAAATACACAGAAAAAAAATTGTGGTAAGCAGATTTAAGTTTGTATAACATTTTATTCATGTCTAAAATAATCATAAGTTATGTTTTTCCTACAAATCACTGTCTATGGATGAATCTATACATAGACAGTCCTTTCATACAACTCATTATTAAATTAAAAAATAGGTAACATATTTTTAAAAAGGATACAATCATTAATACTCCACCAAAGATAAACATGACAACAAAGTCAGCTGTCCTCCCTCTGAAAGACCCCTCCTCCAACATTCTACAATATCTGTATGTAAATATCATATTAAAGAAAAAATTAAAGCCTAAATTGCCAAAGAAAAGGAATGTTGTCAGCAGACGCCATAATTGGATCTTCTTCAATATAAGATTTGGATTGAAGTATAGTTGAAATGGTGAAACAAGGTCCAGTTGCTGAAATACAAAGAAATATTTCATTTTTCACTTTAATATGAGATAAGTGTACTTAAGACAAAAAGGTTAAGTGATTTTGAAAATTCCAAGCCACACAGAATTGGTGCATGTAACTTTTGAGGCTCTTAAACCCTTTTCATTGATATCCAAAATAAATTGTCCATGGGACCATGCAAAATTCTCTGTATAACACAGGTAAATCTTCAATAACAAAACATTTCTTTTCCATCTAGAATAACTGAGGAGTAAACTAAACAGTACTAACCACAGCCAGGGTTGTGATGACACAAGCGGTGGTATAGGCTCTCGTTACGGGAGGTACGAGCATATACTCTTGATATAGTGTTTGATATGCCATTTTTAGAAATATTAAATAATAGCACTTCACTATAACCACATATTCATGTTTACTTCTTAAATTAAGTCTAATTCTAATCAGCTTCAAAATGATTGGACCACATCATACTTAAAATTGTAGGTACTTATAATCACAATGTTACAGTGATAAAAATAAAATGATTGTTGTATTTTATTAATAAAATGTCATTGACAGCTCAATTCCGTTCCGTTTGTAATTCGGAACAACAAGCTGTAAAATATGTTTCTTAATGAATCATGGAATTATCTGTAATTGTGAGTTATCGTCCTGTTATAATTTGCTTTACAATAGTTGGTGATGAACACCTCGACTATCGGCAGTTTTTAAGTATTTTTATGTTGCTTTGAACAGCAAGAAAATAATTTTTGACAGATGTTATGTGTCAATGTGTGAAAGTGACAACTAAACCTTAAACTGAAAACTAAATTGGATGGAATTTGTAAAGGATTTTTACAATTTGTTACCCTATTTTCGAAATAGGTATGGGCGTTTCTTCTGTACATTTGCTTAATGGGCCATAATTATGCAAGTCGCGTGTGATTGAAGAGTGTTAATGCTTATCATCTGGTTTATTAAAAGAACGTGTAAAAATGGATACAAAAGAAGTCGTCGACCACTTAGTGGCTCTAAAAGTCATGAGACTTACTAAACCTGCACTGATAAGTCCTAAAATAGTAACATGTGATTTCAAAGATTTGCCAGGGAATATTTTGAATAACTTTTTGAAAGATGATGCGACATCAGTGGTGCAGATGGAAACTTTAGCAGCAGGTCAATTTCTCTTATTACCACAAAGTTTTGGTAACATTTATCTCGGAGAAACATTTTCATGTTATGTTTGTGTACACAATGAGACTTCACAAGCTGTGCAGAGTGTGTCTATAAAAGCTGATTTACAAACAAGCTCACAGCGAATTCCTCTATCAACACAAAATCAATCTCCAGTGATGTTGGATGTTGATGAAACATTAGGTGATGTTATACATCATGAAGTTAAAGATTTGGGCACACATATTTTAGTATGTGAGGTAACATACATGTCAAATTACAATACACTAGCTTCATTCAGAAAATTCTTTAAATTCGAAGTTATGAAGCCGTTGGATGTGAAAACGAAATTTTACAATGCTGAATCAGATGATGTCTTCTTAGAAACTCAAATACAGAATATCACTTCAGGTCCAATAACACTTGAACAAGTATCTCTTGAAAGCTCTCAACATTTTTCAGTCCAATCACTGAATGAAGTGGATAAAGATTTGTCAGTTTTTGGATATGTTACTTTATTACAACCCCAAGAAAGCTGTCAATATTTGTATCGTTTAACACCAAAGGAAACAATTTCAAGTGAAACTAAACTTATAATAGCTCCAAAGAATATAGGAAAGCTAGATATTGTCTGGAGATCCAACTTGGGAGAGAAAGGGAGACTGCAAACCAGTCAATTACAAAGAATAACACCTGACTATGGTGATATTAGGCTACTGTATGAGGATTTACCCAGTAAAGTGTCTGTTAATGAGCCATTTGATTTTAAATGTAAAATAGTTAATGCTAGTGAGAGAACATTGGATTTAATATTGAAATTACGTTCTCTACAAGATTCTAGTCTTTTATGGTGTGGGATATCTAACAGGAAGTTAGGTCCCTTAGAACCAGGTGGTGTTAAATACATTGATTTAACAGCATTACCAATAAGTACAGGCCTGCATGTTATTACTGGAGTATCACTAGTGGATTTATTCTTAAAAAGAACATATGATTATGATGACCTGGCATCAGTTTTTGTGTTTTGAGTTCTAGAATATAAGTGATTTAATAAAATTTTAAACTAAAAATATGGTAATAATGAGGATTCAATGAGACATATACATTATAAATATAGAAAAATAAACTTCATGAGGTTTAGAATTATTTTAAAAATTACGCTTTTGTAGATCATTGCTAAAGATACACCTTTATTATAATGTCTAAGTAGATTCATTACAACCAGAATATACCCCAACATAAAATATTTTCTGTTTTGTATATTAGTATAGGTTTTACAATAAATCGTAAGTTTTGTTTATAAAATTACATATTTATTATTTTAGGATAATATATATTGATAGAAAAGTTAAATAAAGATGTAAACATATTTTATTATTAGTAGTAGTAGTAGTAAGGATTTAGTTTATTCAGGTTATTATAAGATTTTACTCTAAGCTATTATGAAAAATGTAATTGTTTTAGCTTGTTAGCCTAAAAATTGAAAAATATTTACTGTCTACAGTACTTATTTACAAAACTAGATGCAAGTTTCCGTATGTTTTTTTAATAAAGTATTGTTTTTAATAAAAAAATATTTTTTTTGGTATTGCTTACCTTATTAAAAAATGTTTTAGTTCTCGGACCTTTACAAAAACTAGAGATAGAAAGAGTGGTTGGAGTATATGGCACAGCTTGAGCCAAGTTAAGAACCCTATTGGTATACTCTTGAATCTGCTGGGTTTGGTGCTTCCTAGCTTAAGTTAGAGCATTTGCATAATATCTTTTAGTATTATTCTAATTAGTTTTTGATGTAAATGATAACATGAAATGTGTGATAATTATTGTGGGCAAGAACCTAGGGCTGTTTAAGATATTAAAAAAAAAACATTGACATTATTTCAACTGTCACTGTCAGCTGTCAGTAAAGCTGAAAGTTTGCTGAAAGTTCTCAAGTTCACCCATCTTGCATCCATCACTTTTACTCACAAATCATCATCACCAAGGACTTAGAAAAGGAAAAAAACAGTAAAAGCTGTATTGAATAAAATGGTTTTAATCAAAGAATATAGGATTTGCATGCCTATGACTGTGGAAGAGGTAATTTTTCTATGAAAAACGTTAATGATAATTATTTTTAAGAGTTACAATGTTCAGTTATTTGCGCCTCCAATTAAATCAACGTTTTTGCGTTTTAATTTTAGTATCGGATAGGCCAACTGTATATGATAGCTCGCCATAGCTATGAACAATCAAATAATGGCGAGGGCGTGGAAGTAATCGCCAATGAGGAAGTAAATGACGAGGTTAATGGAAGAGGACAATTTACTGAAAAGAGAATACATTTATCCAGGTATGAACAGCTTTAAATAGATTAAAAAATTATTAATGTTGCTGTGTAACAACATAATGTACATTACATTGTATTAGAAAATATTTTTATAACACATCCTACTCTGCATGTTATAAAAACCTTTTTGCCAATTGTTTTATGCTACTTCTTTTTCGTAAAAATCAACACAATACATATATTTATTATAAAAGTTATACATAAATTGAATAACTCTTATCTGCATGTTCTTTTACAGTCACCTTCCTTATTGGATCCAGTCTTTCCTTCCAAAAATATTTTATATCACAGAAAAAGCATGGAATTATTATCCATACACAATAACGGGTAAGTTAAACCTTTACACATAATAAACATTATTATTTTAACATATTGCAGTGTTAATAAGAATTAATTTTTATTTTCATGTCCCTGAACACCCTGTAGAGTACACGGTATGTGTTTAAAATTAAGTATTGCAATAATTCTTTTTTCATTCTTGTATTTTTAATATGGTTTATATTTCCAGTGTTCTTTCATACCGAAATTCTCCATTTCTATTCAAACAAGATATGAGGATAATAATGGAACATCGGAAAATGTAAGCTGAATTAAATTATTTTATTTTACTTTATTCGGAATAACTGTAATGTAACTTTATGGGATATTTTAATACATTCCCATCTATTCTTTTACTACTACACATTTAACTATCACTAGTCAGTTGTTATTTTTTTATTGTTTTTAATTTTCATTTTAAAACTATAATTTTTCAGTGTCTTGGATTGACACCTGAAGAAAGTGAATCAAGGCAAGTTGATTTCATAGACATAGCATATGATGAAATTAAACCACATCACTATAAAGAAGCAGAAGATCCAAAGTTCTATAAGTCGAAGAAATCAGGCAGAGGACCATTACCGGAAGGCTGGATGCAAAGCCAACAACCCATTATGTGTTGTTATAAAAGTGTTAATGTTAAATTTGAAGTCTGGGGACTACAAACCAGAGTGGAAGAGTATGTACAAGGGGTATGTATTTTTTTAACTGACTAAAAATAAACTTGAGAAATAGATTATTCTCCTTACCTTCCTATATATTTATGTATACAGTGATTGATTTAGTATTTTTTTTCTCTTAACTACTGCTTGCACATTTATCGATCATCTATGGTATTGTAGAGAGTAAAAGATTTATATTTTTTGTATTATTAAAAATATTATTATTGGGAAAGTATGTATGGTTATTAAAAGGTATCTCCAGAATAGCTTAATTATGAGAAAAAAATTTGGCTAGTCTAAAAGACACATAGGCTACTAACAATATTTTATTCCTCTCAAATGGATAAGGGATAAACTTATAAACTATTGAACCAATTTAAAACATTCTTTCATCATTAGAAGGCTACATTATTACTAAATAACAGGCTATATTTATTTTATATAGCTGTAAGTACTTATAATACTGACAAGAATGTTCCTTTAGTAATTTTTATAATTAACTAGAAAGGTGTAGCATTGTTTTACATGTCCGAACTTTTAGTGTTATTTCTTTGTCAAGGCAATCCGGGATATCCTATTGCTTGGCCATCGGCAAGCATTTACTTGGATGGATGAATGGTACAATATGACTATTGAAGATGTCAGAAATTATGAGAAGGATATGCAAGAGAAAACCAACATGAAGGTACATATTTGGACTAATTATAGAAATAACTGTTCCATCACACTTTGATAAATACAAATATAAAAATATTAAGGTATTATATTTCAATTATTTATTTTACATTAGAATGTAGATTGAAATTCTTGGATTTTTCAGATAAAAGTTTGTTTAGAGAATGCGGAGGATTCAGAGAAAGTTAAAGAAACATCTCAGCCTCAAACTCCAAAGTCTCCGAAGACACCAAAGAGTGGTTCCAGTACACCATCAGCTGAAGGCAGGTCATGGTTCAACTGGTCGTAATCATATCAATAGTTAATTAGATGTCATTGTTGTCAGGGTTATGTTATGTGTTCAAACAATTCATCTAAAAAAAACGTAATTATTTATATTGGTATTCATTGAAATTCGATTATAAATCTGAGTCAGATTTAAAAAAAAAATATGCAAGTCTCCATGTTTATTTCAAAAGTGTTAATTTTTGCAATCAGTTATTGATTATAGTCACTTTAAAAAAAAAAGAAAAAAATGATCATTAACGAAAAAATTTTTGTTTTTTAATTTTGTTTAAGATAGGAGAAGGTACTTATTAGATTGTCCTAAGTGGTTAGTACCAATGAGATGTGGATATATTAAAAAAAAATGTTTAAAGAACTATGTAGTTAGTATAATTACAGGGTAAGTACTAACTCGGGTGTTGAATCAGTTACCATCAAATGAACTTTATAGTAACAGTATATAGTATTATTAAAAAACATTGTCAGTTTATGAATTAATAGTTAATTTTTTTAGAAACAAATAGTTATTTTTTTGTTGTTTATTTATTATTAAATAATCAGTTTTAAAGGTCTATAATTCGTAGTATCGTGGCTCTTAGTCAATTTTCCATGTTTTTTTATATGTTAAATAGTTTATTTAATATGTGTAGTCACATAACACTGTATTGTTTCTTTTTCTAAATGAATGAAAGTGATGACTATTATTTTTTTTCCAAATCATTTTTGGCAGTGAAATACTACACTTAAATTTAATAAAAATATCACACAGTAATTTTAGTATTTTTAATACTGAGATTGGATTGAGATGTTTATCGTAAATAGGAAAATAGCGCGAAATGTGTTTACTTTGCACTAAATTAAATATATGTCTTAATAAATGTGTTGTAGATGTTTTTTAATTTTTTATATTTAGTGTTTGCTTGGAATTGCTGTTTTGTTGAAAATGTATATCTATTTAGTTGCATAGGTGTCGCAATATAAAAAAATCGAATAAGAAATTAAAATAATAAATGTATTAGTTGCTTCAATCAATTGAAGATTTAGATTAATATTATTTTTCGGTTAATTTAATTTAAAAATAGTTTTATAGTATCTTTGGCAGTAAATCGTCAAATACCAAATAAGTGCTGTAATGCAATTTAGTTTTAGATTTTTTTATTTGTAAAATACGTTTTTAAAGTTCACAAAATATAGTTATTTAAAAAAAAATAAACCAAATCTAAATTCCAAAAGAATATGTACAGAATAAATTAAAGTTATATAAATACTTTCGAATGGAAAATTGGAAACACGTTATTCTTAAAGTTAATGTTATGTTACCAAATATTTAAAATTCCTGTGATGTTTGCTTTTATTTTAAAAACAGTACAAAAAGATTTTTTGTTTCTGTATGCAATAAATGAAAAGAAAGTCGTACTTAGTACAGAACCAAGTAAATTATTTAATTTTCATAATTGAAGTTTCAGATAGATAGATTTTAGGCCTACATTCCGAATATGTTCGTACATAATTATCTTTTCTACCGTAGATACAAATATATTTTTAAATAAATGTACATAAATTCATGTTTGTTCTTAAATGTTTTAATTTTGAAGCACGTCCATCATGTCAAAGATTTCATTTCCCATAAGATAGCAGATTTTATTATTAACTATACTCTTATCTCAATAAATATTTGAATATTATATCTGTATGTCCAAGTGCCTAATTTTATGTTTCACCTCGCAGTGTTGTGCGTTATAGAATATAGTTTATGTGAATAAAATATAGTTTCCTATATGTTTAAGTAAATTGATATTGTTGATTGAATATACTCGATGTCATAATTAATTTTTCTTTTACTTATCTCTTTTAACGTTTAAATCGACGATAGCTAATCGTAAAATAAGGTTAAGTCTGGAATTATTAGAAGAAAAATAATGTAAAGATTATTACTCATGTACGAAAGGGGTTAAAATTTAATGATAACTAGCTGTTCCCGTGCGACTTCATCCGCATAAAATTATGAAAATTCAATTTTATTGTTTACATTTGTTAAATTATCAATAGCAAATGTCAAACTGACATGACATGACAAACCTTGGCAATCTTGTTTCCTTGATGTTGGCAGCAACTTATGGTCTCTTTCCCACATTATAGTTTTTATCCAAAATATTTACCCCCTAAGTTTAATGGCGTGAATATATATAGCCTAAAGCGTGACGTAATTGTAGGGCTCTTTATTAAAAAAAGAATTTTGAAGAAATATGCTGTAATTGCTGACATCTTAGGCAACAAAGAAGTGTGTATTTACGCTTTATTACAATAGTATAGATAATTTTAAAAAAATGAGTTTTTTTTTAAATCACAAAGTACGATTTAACTTTGTTGTGTCTCTTGTAATAAATTCCATAGTGTGATAGATCCAAGGTAAATGCATCCCAATACTGGTATACACTCCTGGTACCAGCAGTATCCCACAACTAAGTCCATAGCTGCTGATTCCTTGTAGCTTTCCTGAGCACATTAACGGCCCACCAGAGTCACCCTTTAATAAATCATAATTTATTAAACAAAATTTTATCGTACCAGTATCGACAAAAAACGACTATTTCAAATTAAAATATGAAAATCTTATTATCTTCAAACTGGATACTACGAGGAATCTTATAATAAATGCGAATATTTAGCCTAAACTGCTAAACGGATATCGACGAAATTTGGCATAGTTGAAGAGAATACCCTGGAAGAAAACATAGGTTACTTGGTATTTTTTTTAATTCACATAGACAGAGTCGGGGGCGAAAGCTATATATGATAAGAGGTAAAATCTTTATCACAGATTATAGACGTTTTCAACTTCTTTGTCAAAAAGGTTATCGAAGATATATGCTTATAGTGAAATAATACCTGACAAGTGTCCTCTCCATCGCCAAGTGCACATAACATACCGTAATCAAATCGAGGCGCCAGATAAAAGCCTAGAATGTCAGTGCAGTCATCTAGAGAAATTATTTTTAATCTCGCTGCTTTTAAACGGTTCGGTAATATTTTTGTATTTGAATCGGTAGAACCATAGCCGTATGCAATACATTCACCTGTAAATCATAATGTTAACGTAAATACAAAACTGCTACAAAAAATAATGGATCAATAAGTTTGTGAAATGTGGGTAGTTTGTCGACGATAAGTTTTATTATATAATAAAAGGGTGGGGACGTGCAGTGGGAACACCAAAGTAAACAATGACGCCCATGGATATACTCGTACGCAACACCAGAGGAACTTCAGACGCGTTAAAGTTGTGTTAAATGAGGTCATGGAAGATCTAGATGAAGCCTAAGAACGTAATACAACTTTGTAAGTCTTGTGACAATTAAATATAAGTAAATTAATGAAATAATAAATCATGTGCTGCACTAGTGCGACTGTTGTATGAGAATATAATTCTATACTTTACGAGCCAATTTCGCTCATTGATTTATTGTGGTGTTGTCACAATATGGAAAATTGATTGCCTCGTTGGCACAAGTGATAATCCAATCCAAGTGTTGCACTAATAAACGAGGTGTTTAACGTTGTCTCAGATAGGAGGTCAAATATGATCCCATCCTTGAAATGAAATCTAAACAGTTCACTTTTCTAAAATCAATCTCAATCTATATCTATACTAACATTATAAAAAAGAAAGAATTGTATTATTTTGTAGGTATTGAAATAACTCGATAACTACTGGGCCGATTACAAAACTTCCTTCACGATTAGAAAGTACGTTAGCGCTGTAGCATAGGCTATATTTTTAAACCGTGGACGAAGTTAGGAAAAACTGTCCCTGCTTTACTATCCATTTAAAAAGATGATTATTAAAAGCTTTGCTTTTATTTTAACTTATGAAGGGAACAGAATTAAATATTTATATTATCTTCATTAATAGTTACCTGATAAACCAAACGATGTATCGGGTAATATGTCGTCTGTCCAAGTGATATTGTGTGTGTCGAGGTTTATCCGAAGTACGGCGATGTCGTGCGCCCGAGTATATCTGAAACCATACAAAGGTATGCATTACCACCTTGACACATATCCAAATCTAATAATGATTTACACCCTTTATGTACAGTATTGCATAAAAATAAAAATATTAAGAAAATGTAGCCTATGTTACACACAGATAAATTACCTCTCTAACGGTGAAAGAATATTTAAAATCGGCCCAGTAGTTTTTGAGTTATTCCAATTTATACAAATCTTTCCTCTTTATAATGTTAGTAAAGTTAAAGAAGAACGACCTACGAACGAATAGTTTACTTCAAATCAAGCCAGTCAAAATAGTCGTTGGTTCTTTACTATTCATCGCTTATCTACTAACAGTTGAAGATAGCCTTAAGCATTATTTTTAAAATTATAAATTCAGGTCATACTTGTCATAATCCGGATGTTTGATAACTTCCAGTACTGAAGCCGGTGGCGTAATATCACATAAGTTGCTGAGCTGCAACACATATTGATACGGAGTTTGTACACAATGGGCAGCTGTCAATGCAACCTCTTTTGTCACCAGCACCGCCCCACACAAATGCCGGGAACTGTTATCACGCAATGATACTACGCGAATTTGTGAACCTTGAATATGAATTACAATATTTAATTAAACAAATCTTTACATTGTCTCACGTGTGATAAGATATTACAGTTTTTTTTGTCATAGCACATTTAATTTACCACAGTCTACGTCCACACCACCAACAATTCGCTTAACTCTACTAGTATTAGATGTTGAAATAGTTAAACTTATCATAAATATTTTTACAGTAAAAATGTATTGTAGCCAAGTTATGTAACTAGACATAATAATGCGACGGTTATCTATTTTACGTGCGAAATATTACCATAATTATCTAGTCCGTACATTAAATCTTTGCACAGTTTTAGTCATATAAAACAATCGTGGTATGTTCGTGATTCATGAGCGGATTTGAACGGTTATTAGTGTTTCCGAGTCTTAGTTCGAGTATCTCTCTATAGATACTGTTACTAATTTCAAGGGTCTCTGGGCTCCCTTTTTTACTTTCTGCCTTACGATGTTTCTCTACACTGTGCGTGCAAGGTTTGAGACCCGATTACACATCAATAGGTTGACGACCTCAGAACACAAATCGAATATAATTTAAAGTTAAGGAAACTCGGTTGTTCGGTCTATGTTCAGCATTATCTTAACATACTTTTTCACATGAATGAATGTATGAAAGATTAAATATGCTTAGGAGAGATGGCCTACATATACAAAAGGCTAACTTTAAGACGGACGTGGGTGGTTTGACGTGACTATATTGAATCCGTAGGACTGAACGTAACATTGTATAGTGTTAGTGATTTATTATAGCACTGAACACATTTACTTCATACTTTTTATAATCTTTCAGTCTGTTCAAAATACCTCCATTACCTCCTCTTCTGTTTCGTTTTTCTTTATTCACTCTGTTGTATCAATAGTTTAAAATTTATGGTCTACATTACATAACCTGTTATTGGCTCCTTCTGTCACTTTTGTTTTTATTTAAAATAGTTCTTGTTTATTCACTTAACTTTGTTGAAACTGCAATTTTGTTTTGTTTTTAATAGAAGTACGGTTGACTTTGATGGTCAATACATTTCTAAGGTGGACAGTATCTTGGTACAATCATAAAATATTCAAGTTTCAAAACTTTTGTGTAGATCCTCGTTTGATATTTACTGCGACGGAGTCTGGCTGCGGAGGCGGTGCGTAGGTGTGCTGAGTTTGGTCAAACATATAAGGTTATTTGGAAATTAATTGATTTGCTAATTACCAAATAAACTCATTAATGATGAAGTGATAAGATTAAATAGTAAATTTAAGATAAGTTGTTATAAGAAATCAATGTTCCTAGTACGATTTAGTCCCGTTGTCAGTCTCGTTTACGTTTTTTAAATCACATGTAACCGCATTTCAGTAAAAAAGCAATACATTTGTATGGAAGTTGTTATTCATTGAGAAGCACAAATAAACCACACTTAACTCGATCGTTGTATTTTTAAAGTTTGTGTATTATTTGAAACAATTGACGCGCGCACGATTTTACGCCTACCTACGCATATCCGGTATTTTAAAGGTAAATGCCAATTATTTTGGTTTTGTATTGCAAATATTGTCTTAAATCTTTAATGAACCTTAAATTCAATAGCTGTACAATCTATTTTTTTATTTTATGTAAATTGTTACTCTTTTATAGTAATTAATGTTTTCATACGAGTATTTACTAATACTTTCTTTCGTCTTCTTTATTTCAAATGAAACAAATAACGGCCTAAAGTAACATAAGAAACTTATATGACTCTTAATAAAAAAATCAATAGTTTAATTAAATTATTATGAGTAATAGTAATATATGTTAAAGATTTAAAACTTAGAAAACTCTCATAATTTAATAATAAAACATATTAACAAAAAAAACAACTGATATTAAAAGCAAACTTTTTATATAAAACCGAATAACATACGTATCCTGTTACTTAATATTCATAACTTGGTAACATGTATGGTCGTAGGCAAACTACGCCGCCCTGCGTAGCTACAAGCGATCGTGGCACATTAAATAGCATTTCGAATCCCAAGATGAAAGCTTTTGCTTACTTAGGGATCCCCCGCATAACAAATCATAGTTACATTTTACATCATTCATGTACTTTATATTACATGTTTTGTAACATTTACGTAGATGTAACGTAGCAGTGTTTAATAAAATATAAGAGTTCACAGTGCTGTTTGTAATGCAGTTTGATTATTATTAACTGAGAAAGTTCAAAAATACTCGATAAAATTGGAAAACTTATTACATTTATGGAGAGTTAGACATTTTTGTTAAATTAGAAATTGTACAGAAATTTCGGTTATCATAATGAATGAAAAGTTAGGCGCTTCTAACATAATGTATGATATAAAAGGTCTTTGCGGAGCCACAATTCTTTATTAAGAAAACCGTATGAAAATCCGCTTAACGCCTTTAGAGTTATTGGCTTAGAAAGGGTCGGGGGTGCCGATACATTTTATTGTGAAACATTCGTAGACCCGTGTTCTTTGATTTATGTCATAAGTTCTAAATAAAAAATATTTTTAACTAATGACTTATCTTGTAACTGTACACAAACCGAATTTTTAGCCAGAAGACAAAGGGAAACGATTTTCGTAGACATTTGGCACAT